ATTATCAGTATAGATGATATGATTGTAATGTTAATGATAATAAAATTATTAATAACTAAAGACATGGGAATTGCATCCTTAAGGAGATTCACAGCTCTTCTTTAAACTTATCTGATTTTTTTCCTTCAAGGGATAAAGAAAGTCATTGCATTTTAGTAATATCTGTGCATTTACAATCATTGCAATCTTATGACTTAAAATATACTTACCTAATAACTTGTTAAAGAACATGTTTACTGCTCGGAGACGAAACTTTGACACGAAACAGTTCACTCGTACAGTAATTTGGAGCAAGTTCAAATAATTAGAGATCAACACTGGTGGAGGAGTGCCTGGTTGAACATCTTACCTTTCTCTCTCTCTCTCTCTCTCTCTCTCTCTCTCTCTGTCTGTCTCTCTCTCTCTCTCTCTCTCCCCTCAAAAAAAAAAAAAAAAAAAAAAAAAAAAGTTTTAGCATGTAACCCTTTGACGGCGCGGGTTGTTTGTGAATGGAAGGACGAAATGAGTTCTCTTTATTAACTTGAGAGCAACAAGGATGATGCGCGTACAAAGCATCATATGGTGGGAACAGTATGGGAAGACCTGTTGTTAATTAGGTTATTAATCTTAATTCATCAGTCATTGCATTATTATCGAAGAATTAATGATCAAGGACCGAGAAGAAGCCAAATTTTCATGATCGAAGGCGTGTCCTAAAATGGAAGCAAACAAAACAAGAAACAAAATCGGCAACTGGCACCTTGCACAGGCGGACTATAAGTACGCTGAGAATGGGAGTCTGACACAGTGCATCTTACAGTGCCAGTTATCATGAAGTTTGTGAGTATCTAATCTCGACGGACTTCATCTTTATATGAGATACTGGATTCATACAGTACTCCTTTTAGTTTCTTTTTTCCGGTTTGGTTGCTATTTCAACTCGTTATAACTCTGGGGAGAAGTCTAGCAATGTATAACATCCTTTGAATGATATGACAAATTATGTTTTTCAGTTCTAACACTTATCAAGATGAAAGGTCAACTGACTTACTGAACGTATTCCTTTGCAGTTGATCCTCGCCGCTCTGGCCGCCGTGGCCGCCGCCGACACACAGGGATATGGCGCTCCCCCTCCTCGCTACGCCTCCAGCGAGGAGATCGCCATCTTGAGGAACGACTTCGTGATCGAGGACGACGGAAGGTACAACTTCGACGCGGAGACTGCCAACGGCATCGTGGTGTCCGAGCACGGCACTCCCGGACTTGAGGGAGCCATCAACAGCGCCGGATCCTTCTCGTGAGTTGTCCTTGTCCTGTTTATTTTTATCAGTCGTTGAGAACTACGCGAATGGGAGAATATATACAATGCTTCTAAATGTTTGACATTAACGTTTTTTTCTCATTCGCAGATACAGTGCTTCTATATATCTATTATAAAACTTTATTTCTCTTTCACAGGTACACCGCTCCTGACGGCACTGACGTCCACCTCCAATTCGTTGCTGACGAGAACGGCTTCCAGCCCCAGGGCGCCCACCTGCCCGTGGCTCCCGAGTTCCCCCACCCGATCCCTCAGTTCGTCCTCGACCAGATCGCCTTCGCCGCCGAGGAGGACGCCCGTAACGCCAAGAGGCCCTCCTCCGGTGGCTACCAGTGATTGGATATAGTTGAGAGATTAGAAGAAACGAATGAGATCCGACATGACTTTGTCTATAGATATCTATAATGTATATTTATTGTTTGATAATTAAATATTAAATGCCAGCTAGTCTTTTTACTCATACATCAAGGCTTTCGTGCGATCTTTGATTTGATATGATTCTATTTTCTCCAAAAGAAAGATAGATAAGTACATAAATAAAGAGATGAACCAAGAAAAAATAGGTAGCAGATGAGAGCTAAATGAACACAACCAATGACTTAATTGGTCATACTTCTTTCGTGAAAAAAAAAAAAAAAAAAAATGACGAGAGTATTAACATTGTACTTTAAAATACCAGGTTCTAGCCTCAGGTCTGCCACATGCCCGTTGCTCTCGAGTTCTCTCACCTAATCCCTCGATTCGCCCTCGTCCTGATAATCTGTTTTTGAGTGTTCATAAATTACTATAGATAGTTTTCTACTTCCTTGCTTGTATATTTTCTGAATCACTGTTATCCATCATTCATCCCTATGAAAATATATAAAATAAAGAAATCTTTTAAAGAAGTGAGTAAATGCATAAATTATCTTTATTATTATAACTGTTTTTGCTATAACAATAACAACATGAACAGCAGAAATGGTAGTAAAATAGTGATAATACTAATAGTAATTATTATTACTGTTTTATCATTATCACCAAAAACATAAAAGTCTACTGCCATCAATAAATGTCTTTGATGAATGAATTTTTATAGAAACAATTCTAAAGAGGAAACAGATATAAAAAGCGTGCCTAAATACCTTACCACACCCTTAGAACACACACACACACACACACACACACACACACATAAATGTGTATAGATATATAGCCATTATATAGTTGATATCTATAAACACACATGCGAATATATACACATATATATGTATATATAGAGAAAAAATAGATAAACTTACAGATAAGTACACACACATATATACGTATATATATATATATATATATATATATATATAATATATATATATATATATATATATATATATATATATATAAAGAGTGAGAGAGAGAGATAGGCACATAAACACATACACACATACACACACACTTATATATATATATATATATAATATATATATATATATATATATATATATATATATATATATATATATATATATATATATTCATGTGTATCTATATATTTGTATCAATTAATGTATATATGTATACTCTAGATTTATGTGTATATATACCCATTAGTTTATGTATATATATATATATATATATATATATATATATATATATATATATATATATATATATACATATATATATTCATACACACACACACGCGCGCGCGCATATATATATATATATATATATATATATATATATATTATATATATATATATATATATATATATGTATATATATATATATGTATACATACACACACACACATAGACACACACACACACACACACACACACACACACACACACACATATATATATATATATATATATATATATATATATATATATATATATATACATACATAAACTAATGGGTATATATACACATAAATCTAGAGTATACATATATACATTAATTGATAAAAATAGATACACATGAATTAATGAATATATATATATAGATATAGATATAGATATAGATATAGATAAATAGATATATAGATAGATAGATAGATAGATAGACGGATATACATATGCATGTGTATTTGACTGTGTGCTTACAAAACCATGGGGAACATAAGTACAGATCTATGTCTTATGTGCTACCGCGCTAAGTGCTTGTACGAGTACGTGTAAATACTCTACTTACAGAGATTCAGTTCAGGTCATGTAATAAACATAAAAAGAAGAGGAAGAAGAAGAAGAAGAAGAAATGTTCTGCGTTTTGTAGAAGGGAAAATTATCTAAAAGTTCAAGGACATACACGTGGTCATTCACAGATTACTGAAAGAAATGAACTGGCAACTGCATGCAGTCCTCATAGCAGAATATAAGCGCTACCATCTGCATGAGAGGCAGCAGTATCTCACAGACAACATGAAGTTCGTGAGTATTCTCATGGCGTCACTTATTCTGCATCCGACGGAGTACAAAGGCGTGGGAAATGTATCGTGAATATTTCGTAACGTATATTATTCTTTGAGTGACAAGATGAATGTTTTTCAGCTGATCCTCGCCGCTCTGGCCGCCGTGGCCGCCGCCGTCCCCCAGGGATACGGTGCCCCCCCTCCCCGCTACGCCTCCAGCGAGGAGATCGCCATCTTGAGGAACGACTTCGTGATCGAGGACGACGGAAGGTACAACTTCGACGCGGAGACTGCCAACGGCATCGTGGTGTCCGAGCACGGCACTCCCGGACTTGAG